GAGACCACCACCCTCCAGGGCAGCCTGGGGACCGCTGCCGACACAAAGCCACTGAGCTGAGGTACCCCCCTGCATCCACGGGCCAGGCCCCCCATCCCCACTCCCCTCCAGGAAGGGGTACCCGAGCCAAGGCTCATCCATGGGACAGCAGAGCAGCTCTCCGGGACAGGGGCAAGGACCACCTCGTGAAGGGGAGGTGATGGGGAGCAGGGCCTGGAGCTGCTCATCCAGAGAGAGTTCATCCTGAACTGATGGGATGTGCTGGGAGCCCTCAGTCCAGAGAGGGGAGGATGCAGACCAGCAGCTCCTCTGCCCACCCAGCCCCAGCCCGTGACCATGGGGAGATGCGGACCTCTTTGTGGGATGTTGCTGCTGAGCCAGCCAGTCTGGCACAGACAGAGCTCATGGGTTGACGCACTTCATACCTTCATGTGAGAGAGCTCATAAGTGGTTTTTGTCCCCCTAAATGCCAGGCTGGGGATGGGGTTCATTAGTGGGCAGCTCTGCCATTCTGGTCCCAGACATTCCTGGCCGGGAAAAGCTGCTCCATCCTGGGTTCCCCTGCGGAGAGGCTGCCCAGGTTTCACCTGGAATTAGCTTGTTTTGATGCAACACAGAGATCCCCATCTTCACCCTTTTGCATTCCTGGTCTTCATTTCCTTGAAGTCTCTTACAAGGAGGAAATGACCCAGATTAGTTGTCACAGCATTGGTGCTGCGTGCCACGTTCCTGTGTCACAGGTTTTCTAGCTCTCCTCTGTGGCACTTCTGCTTCCTCAACTGCTTTCCTACCAGGTTTTTATAGGGCTGAAGCAAATGCAGCGGCCGGCTTGAGGCGGTGAATGAGACTCCAGAAATTACTATTAATTTGCTTTTAATTTGTAGTCTGCTTTAAAAAAAAAAAAAAATACTTCCACTGCAGTTATAAATAAAGTCACTCTTCAAAAGTAAGGTACTTGAACCCAAAAGATGCTTGGTGACGTGTGTCAGAGGAGAGTCGCTATGCTGGAAAGAAAAAAAAGGCATTATTTATCTCCATCAGTTCTTCCCATCTTCATTTCCTATATGCAACGTGGCTATTTGGATGTGTCACACAAGGAGAGACACAGCGTGGCTGTGGCTGGGTGCTGGGCACCAGCCCCGTGAGGACTCGGTGCTGTCCTTCAAGGTGACCATCACCCTCAGCTGGGAGTGGGCTCAGCCCCAGTGCGAGATCCCACCAGGGAGGACACTGGCTGCCTTTGCTCTGAGGCTCCTTTGCTCTCTGCCACGTTGCAGAAGTGCCGATCTCAGCACAAAATCTTGGGTGACACAAGACGAGGCCAGAGAGCCGGGAAATTCGGAGACTGTTTTATTTGCTGTACAAGGCAAGTACTCCCTTGAGCCTCTTTGTGGAGCCCTGAAGCTTTTTATCAGGCTAGAGGAGTGCGAATAATTGATTTTTCCACTCACTGGCCAAACCAAAAAACTAGAGGGGGCGGGGGAGGAGAAGGAATTGTTTCAAGTTTATTTGAACAAAAAAGTTTTTCTTTTTATTCAGTGCAATAAAAACACGAGGAAGAAAATCTTTTGGGTGGTCAGACAGAATATTTTAACCCTTTTGAATGTCTTTTTTAAAGTGTTGGTAGTTTGCAAAATAAAAAGGGGGGAAATATAATATAGAGGTGAAAATGGGATGTTTGAATTTTTCAAAAATGCTTTTTTTTTTTTTTTTTTGGAGCACAAGCATTTTCTCAAGTGCAACCTGAATTTGTTGATTTTTTTCAACCTCAGTGTCCCCAAAAGGCTTTTTTTTTTTTTTTTCCGAAAAAACCCCCATCTGTTCCTTGTAGAGAAATTAAGGAGGGTCAGGTACCAAGTGTCAGCTGACTGGCAAGATGACATAACCCAGCAGAGGTGCCGGGATCTGCAAACCGCTCCCGGGAAGGCTTTAGCAAACCTTCCAGCCTGAGCATCCCTGTCCATCTCCGCTGGGCGCAGGAGGCGGCAGCACTCGTTCCATGGGGGCAGCGGGACCCCCAACCGAGCCACTGCCGGGTCCCCTCTCCAGCAGGGACATGTAGAGGACTTGTTAGAGCCTCAACTCAGCACAGGATTTTTACCTGCCTGTTGCTGGTTTTACTGCCAACCAAAAATGGAGCATTTATTTCATGATCCCACTACTTTGGGGACTGATGGAGCCATGCTGTGATTGTGCCGGTGCACGGGTCTGAGATGTCCTGCCTGTCCTGGGATGCGCAGCTCAGTGCACGCTTTGGCACGGACACGCTGTATTTTTTCACTGCAGCTGATGGGGAAGGCGTCCGTGTGTAAAGGAGCTGGAAAGAACTTGAAAATGCATTGTACAAAGGTTCATCTTCACACGGTACAAAACCCCTTCAGTTCTCAAGGCCATCCTGCCATCTCCCATCTGTGGCCCTTGTAGAAGAAAAGAAGAGAGCACAGGAGGGCTTCTGCACTCACTGGTATAACAGAGCCATGATTAAACACAGCAGATACTGCACAGATGAGGTATTTCCATTTAAATTTCTGTGTATTTTGATTTGGGCAGATATTTAAGTCTGAATTGGGTCAGCCTGGAGGCTGAGGAAGTTCATGGGATCTGTGTGCTTACTGGCTTGGAAGGGTTTGAAGCTCTTTTTGTTTGACATCTGCTTCTAATTCCTTCACTTGGTTGAGCAGTGACAGAGAATTACACCTGTGCCCTGAACCCTGTTTGCTTTAGGCCTGATCCTGTTGCATCGCTAATGCAAAATACAGATGATGTGAAAAGTTTCACAATTACAGAGATTAGGCTTGACTGGCAGGCTCCCTGGTGTGTTGGAGGGAAGGACTTTTGGAGACCATAAACTCCATCTTCATTCAGAAACTGGCAAAACTTCAGCTGATAACCTGAGCCCGTTCATAAAGTCATAGAATCATAGAATAGTTTGGGTCGGAAAGGACCGTTCAAGGCCATCTAGTCCAACCCCTCTGCGATGAGCAGGAACATCTTCAATTAGATCAGGTTGCTCAGAGCCCCGTCCAACCTTACCTTGAATGTTTCCAGGGATGGAGCATCTGCCACCGCTCTGGGCAACCTGGGCCAGCGTTTCACCACCCTCATGGTAAAACGTTTCTTCCTTGTACTTAGTTCTGTTTACATCTATTTACACCAAGTTTACATCTGTTCCGGCTGTCTTGTTTCTAAGGTGGGTGGAAGGTCAGGGCGAGGGGGTCTTTGAGGGGGAGGATGGTTTGCTGGTGATGGAGTCGCTGGGCTGTGCCGGTGCTTCCAGAGTAAAGAGAGGTTTCGCATGTGCCTTCGGGCCATCTTCTGCCAAAGAGGACACACGTTTTCAAGATGCCAGGAGCCCCGTGTCTCACTCGTGGCTCCATCTCATGCCTGCTGGATTGCTCTGGGCAGATCTTGTGGCTTCTCCATTCCCCCCTCTTCTGGGATGCGGGTTGCTCCCCCGTGCTTGTCCTGTTCAGGAATGGGAGCTTCGCCAAAGGCAGGGGGAGGGCGAGGGAAAGGCTGGGCGCTGCCGGACACCCCTCCCTTCAGCTTTCGTGAGACGCTGGTTTCCATCTCAGCCGTGGGAGTAGCTGGCAGGGAGATGCTCTTCCCCCTGCGCAGCCTCCTCCTCCCTGTCAGCGCACTTTGGCGGGTGTTTATCCACCCCCTGCTCCACACCCAGCTTTCTGCCCCAGAGCCGGAGCTCCCTGGGCTGGTTGCAGCCATGCTCCGTGGCCAGGAGACCTCAGCCACCCGTGGCACCTTCTCCCTGGCTGTGGAAGAAGACCCAGGTCCTCTACCCAAGCTCAGGGACTTACCCTTGTCACCCCTGGTGTTTGACGGTCCCCGCTGGGAGCTGCAGAGAGCCGTTGCTACTGCAGTAATTGGCTCTGACTATTAATAAATGAAGTCTTGGGATTTCTGCCTGGCGTGGATGTGGCTGTGCTCATTCCTCCCTCGTATCCCTGTCACTCAGCGTGGGGCTGCTGGGTCCCGCCGCTCTCTGGGGGCAGCGGCTATCGCAGAGTGGGGAAAGGCCGATGATTTATTTGTGCTGCCGGAGGAACTGGGAATGAGAAGAGCGCTCATAAAAAGCACCGTCTCATTTTCTCTAGGCCTCTGTGTGTGGCACTATTGAGCTGTAAACATTTTCCAGGTTAGATTTATAGAGATAGAAGGAGAACTGATCATTAGGAGGATTAATAATAAGCTTTGCGGGTTGTGAAAGTCCAGAAAGTTCAGTTATGCTGCTGAGAGCTGGGAGATCCCTCTTGCCCAAGCTGGCAGGTAGAAATCCCCCCAAGTCCTTTATTTGCAACAGAGAGCAGTGTGATAGGTACCGATTCGGAGGGGGGCCAGTGGGACTTGGTGCTGAGCAGGCGTGGAGCTGGCGATGGTCCCTGGCCAGGCTGGGCTTACCTGAGACCTCCCAGTGCCAGCACACCCACGGACAAGCGCGCAAGCAACGATGCTGCTCCCGCACCCCGGCGGCGTGCAAGCCGCCTTGCTCCGCACCCACCGTGCCCCCGCAGCACGGGCACCCCGCTGTCCGCGCCGTGCAGGGTCACAGACCCGCTGCTGATCACCCTTTTTACCCCGGAAGAGCCAAAATGTCCCTTCCGGCAGCAGCCAAACCACACGGGTAGTCTGACTGCAAAGGGACTCGCTCCTGGAGAGGCTGGTGTTGGCCCAGCCCTTTCCTGAGCTGGACACCAGCCGGTGCTGGTGCCACGCTGGTGTGCCACTGTGCCTGCCACAATAAGGACGTGGATGTAAGAGCAGCACTGAGCCTTCCAGCTCGCTCTGAGGTCCCCTGTCCTTGGGAGCACCCATCCCCAGGAGCACCCATCCTCAGCAGCACCCATCCCTAGAAGCACCTGTCCCCAGGACCACCCATCCCTGGCAAGCACCCATCCTTCGAAGCACCCGCCTCTGAGACCACCCATCCCTGGCACCTTAGAAGCACCCGCCTCTGAGACCACTCATCCCCAGAAGCACACATCCCTGGCAGCACCCACCCCTGGCAGCACCCATTCCTGGCAGCACCCATCCCCAGAAGCACCCAGCCCTGGTAGCATCCATCTTTGAGACCACCCATCCCTGGGAGCACCCAGCCCTGGCAGCACCCATCTCTGAGACCACCCATCCCTGGGAGCACCCATCCCTGGCAGCACCCATCCTTAGAAGCACCTATCTCTGAGACCACCCGTCCCCAGGAGCACCCACCCCGGGTGAGGTTGGCAGCAAAGCAGCGCAGCTAAGCACGTCCACGGAAGTGCCAGCATGGCGGAGGGGACCTCCCT